GAGACAGAGGTCAGAGTTCATTATTTTTTTCAGGTAGCTGTCCAGTTTTCCCAGCACCACTTGTTAAAGAGGTTTTCCTTATTCCACCTAACAGTTCTTGCTCCTCTATCAAAGATTAAGTGATCATATATTTGAGAGTTTGTGACAGGATATTCAACTCTGTTCCATTGGTCTGCAGGTCTGTTTCTAATTCAATACCATGCTATTTTAATTACTACTGCTTTGTACAGTTTGAAGTTGGGGAAGGTGATGCCACTCATCTTCTTTTCCCAAGGTTTTAGCTCTTTATAAAGATTTATTGTTCCATATAAATTTCAGGAGTATTTTGTCTACTTCTTTAAAGAATGTCATGGGAATCCTTAAAGGAACTGTGTTAAATCTGTATAGTACTTTGGGAAGTACTGCCATTTTGATAATGTTAATCCTCCCAATCTAATACCCATCTGATAAGGGACTAATATCCAGGATATACAAGACACTAGTAGTATTGCATGAGAAAAAAAAAACTCCAACCCCATCAAAAAATGGGGAGAGAATATGAACAGAAGCTTCCTCAAAAAAGAAATACTAATGGCTAAAAGGTACAGGAGAAAATTCTCTCCATCACTAACCATTAGGGAGATGCAAATGAAAACAATGAGATATCATCTCATACCACAGAGACTGGCACACATCCAAAAGAACAAGAACAACCAGTCCTGGCGCAGATGTGGGGAGAAAGGAACTCTCTTTCATTGTTGACGGGAATGCCAACTGGTCCAGCCTTTTTGGAAAACAATTTGGGCATTCTTTCAAAAACTAAAAATTGAGCTTCCATATGAACCCACAATACCACTTCTGGGAATATATCCTGAAGGTACAAAACAGCACAATAGAAATGACATCTGCACCTGTATGTTCACTGCAGCACTGTTCACAATAGTCAGAATCTGAAAATAACCCGAGTGCCCAAAAAGAGATGACTGATTAAAGAAACTTTGGTACATCTACACAATGAAATACTATGCAGCAGTTAGAAAAGATGAAGTGATGAAAACTGCTTGTAAGTGGATGGCCATGAAGAATATCATGCTAAGTGAAATGAGTTAGAAAGAGAGAGACAGACATAGAATGACTGCACTCATTTGTGGAATATAAAATAACGTAATATGAAACTGATACCCACAAGGACTAGGAATATTGCTCCATAGTTGGAAGCCTGCGTCATGAGGTGGTGGAGAAGGCAGCTGAAATAGAGAAGGGATAACTAAGTCAGTGATGGTTGGAGGGATTGTTCAGAATGGGAGATGAGTGCTGAAAGTAGATAAAGGACCAAATGTTACAGCCTTTCAGTATCTATATTGCAAACCATAATGCCCAAAAGCAGAGAGAGAGTATGGGTAAAATTGTCTGCCATAGAGGTAGGGAGAGGGCTGGAATGGGGGGGAGCTGATAGTGGAGACACTGGTGGTGGAAAACGTGCACTGGTGAAGGGATCAGAATCAGGCCTTTGATTCTATTGAGACGGAAGCGGTCATTGAAGCCCTAGCCAATCAGGGCATTCAAGCCCAATACATCAAGATCCTCCGCGAGCTGTATTGCGGATTCACTACCAGGATCTCACCATTCTACAAAGAAGTGATCGTTGATGTCAAGAGAGGGGTGCGGCAGGGTGATACCATTTCACCGAAACTCTTCAGTGCCACCCTCGAGAACATCATGCGACGACTGGAATGGGAAGGAATGGGAGTGAAGATAGAAGGTCGGCAACTACACCACCTCCGCTTTGCTGATGACATTGTTTTAATAACACCAAACATCAGTCAAGCGGCACAAATGCTGGCCGATTTTGACCGTGAGTGTGGAAAGGTAGGACTACAGCTGAATCTTACGAAGACAATGTTTATGAGAAACAGCCTCGTTCCTGATGCCCCATTCGCTCTCAACAGAACGACCATCTTCGAATGCAACAGTTATCTGTACCTAGGTCAAGAAGTCAACATGACAAATGACCTGGCACCCGAGCTGCGCAGGAGGAAGAGAGCGGCTTTGAACGCCTTCAAGAACGTCGAAGAAATAGCTAAGAGGACGAAGAACCTCCGGCTCCGGGCACATCTCTTTGATTCCACTGTTCTTCCTGCATTAACATATGCCTCAGAGATCTGGGCCCTACGCAAACAAGATGAGAACGCTATTCAGGTCTCCCAAAGAAGAATAGAAAGAGTTATGCTTGGAATATCACGTTTCACTCAAACGAGAGAAACAATCTGGAGTTCTGACATCCGTCGACGATCAAGAATCAGGGACGCTGTCTCATTTGCCAAGGTGTCAAAAATCAGATGGGCTGGTCACATAATGAGATTTAAAGACGACCGCTGGACTAGAGCTGTTATCGACTGGATTCCACAGGATGTCAAAAGACCGCATGGCCACCCACCTACCAGATGGTCAGACTTCTTCATCAAGATCATGAACGATCGGTTTGAGGCTCTTCACGTTCCCAGAGCGAACAGATGCCATTGGGCTACACTAGCACGCGACAGGGACAAATGGAGACGTTACTGGCGCCCGCTCGAGCAAATCGACGACTAACGGGAAGTTAAGTGATTAAGTGATTAAGTGATGAAGGGATGGGTGTTCGATCACTGTATGACTGAAACTCAAACATGAAAGCTTTGTAACTGTATCTCACGGTGATTCAAAAAATAAATAAACTACTAGACAAAAATACTATTTATGGCAATAAAGTTTAGAAGAACTCCAATATTTCTCAAATTTTATAGGTTTAATGCTTTGAATTTCTTTAAAGGGAATGGCTGGAATCAAAAAGAAATGGTCAGAAGGTCTATGTGAATATCTTTTAAAAAAAATTAGCAAACTTGGAAAAACTGGACCACTACATCTAAAAAAAAAATGGACTCAAACCTTGACCTAACACCATGCATAAAAATCAGATCAAAATGGATTAAAGACCTCAACATCAGACCAGAATCCATAAGGTACACTGAGGAAAAGGTCGGCAAAACCCTCCACAACATTAAAGCTAAAGGTATCTTCTCAAACAACATGCTACTGACCAATCAACTGGAAGCAAAAATAAACAAATGGAACTATCTTAAACTACAAAGTTTCTGCACTTCAAAAGAAACAATGATCAGGATACAAAGACTGCCCATGGGATGGGAAAGGATATTCACCCAATACCCTTCTGATTAGTGGTTAATATCAAAGATATATAAGGCGCTGGTTGAACTCTACAAGAGGAAAACATCCAACCCCAACAGAAAATGGGGCAATGAAATGAATAGAAACTTTCTCAAAGAAGAAATCTGAATGGCCAAAAGGTACATGAAAAAATGCTCTTTATCATTAATCATCAGAGAGATGCAGAACAAAACAACAAGATATCATCTCACACCACAGAAACTGGCACACATCCGAAAGAACAAAAGCAACAGGTGTTGGTGTGGATGTGGGGAGAAAGGGAATCTCCTTCACTGTTGTTGGAAATGCCACTGGTCCAGTCTTTTTTGGAAAACAATATGGGCATTCCTTAAAAAACTAGAAACTGAGTTTCCATTTGACTCCACAATATCACTTCTGGGAATATTACCTGGGGGCCCAAAAATACACAGCAGAAACACCATCTGCACTCCTATGTTCACTTAGCACTGTTCACAATAGCCAGAATTTGGAAACAACCTGAGTGTCCAAGAACAGACGAATGGATAAAGAAACTTTGGCACATCTACACAATGGAATACTATGCAGCTGTTAGGAAAAATGAAGTCATGAAATTTGCATTTGCCTATAATGGATGAACATGGAGAGTGTCATAATGAGTGAAATGAGTCAGAAGGATAGGAACAGATATAGAACGGCTGCATTCTTTTGTGGTATATAAAACAAAATATAGTATAAGACTAATATCAATCGCCAGGGAAAACAGGGGTTAGGAGGACTGGATAATGGTTGGGATTAACCACATGTGTGTAGGGGGCTGAAAGAAGGTAAGATAGAGAAGAGACCAGTATGACAATAATAGCTGGGAATGTCCATGCTGGATAAGATCTGAGTGTTAAAAGTAGGTAAAGAGATATTCTCGATGACCTTTCAGTATCAATATTGCAAACCACAATACCCAAAAGGAGAGAAAGAGAGAGGGAGATAGAGAGAAGGAGAGAGAGAGAAAGAGAGGAAAAGCGTCTGCCACAGAGGCAGGCAGGGAGATGGAGGGTGATGGGAAGAACCCGGGGACACTGGAAATGTATACTGCCCTGGAGGTATGGGTGTTGGAATACTTTATGAATGAAATTCTATCATGAATAGCTTTGAAAGGATCTATCTCACAATGATTCTATAAAATAGTTAAAAATATGTTAGCAAATCACGGTCACAGTCCTCCCGTTCATCAATTTGCTCGAGCAGGCCCAGTAACGTCTCCATTGGAGACTTTGTTGTTACTGTGTTTGGCATATCGAATACATCACGGGTAGCTTGCCAGGCTCTGCCGTGCGGGAGAGATACTCTCGGTAGCTTGCCGGGCTCTTCGAGAGGGGCAGAGGAATCGAACTCGGGTCGGCCATATTGGCTGCGTGCAAGGCAAACACCCTACCGCTGTGCTATCGCTCCAGCCCATTAGCAAATCAAATCTAACAATATATCAAAAAGATCATATACCAAATAGAATTAATCTCAGATGGAAGGACATCTTCATGTACACAAGTGAAACAATGTAATACATCAATATAAGGAAAACTTAAAACCATATGATAATATCAACAGATGCAGAGAACGCATTTAACAAAGTCCAACACCCACTCATGATGAAAACAATAAAATGGGAATAGAAGGAAATTTCTTCAATATAGTTGAGGTCATCTACCATGAAATCACAGCTCAATGGAAATCTTTTGGAGAAGTTCATTAAGAGAAGAGCAAGTGAGGTCACTGGTTATCAAGAAAGTGTAGGGCCCTTGACTATCTACCCTTTACTTTTGCGGGCCTAGGCCAGAACTCACCTGGATGATGAAGCCAGTGGAAGAACACTGCCTAACCCAGAGACTGAATTTCCGCTTTTTCCTCTTTCGCAGTTCCCGCTCCGTGCATGTAGCAATGAACACAGGGTCCTCGTCAATCAAGGGTTCATGTAGCACCTGCCAGGGAAAAACAAGCAGATTCTCAAGAAAGGTAGCATGAGCTTGGGGATGGAAGAATTTAGTTTCTGCCTTTAATCAGTCATGTGACCTGGGCCAAATTACTTTAGCTCTCTGATCTCAGTCTTTCTCATCTATGAAAGGTTACTATCAGTGTCTACACCACTGTTTATGAAGGATTAAGTAAGAAAGTATATGTGAAGCACAGGCATTGGCAGAGGGCAGGTATTAGATGACTTATAGATGATAATGATGATGATGATGGTGATAATTAGACTTAGGTTCTCACTAACAAACTCTTAGTAAAAGGATCTCTAGGAGGGGTTTCAGCTATCAGCTGAAGTACCAATTGTGGGTACCAACTTCTTTCCAAGGAAGACCTTTTTATATGGATGACTTCAACTGCTAAAAAATGTTTTTCTCTGGATGATTAAAAATTTACATATTTCTTATCCAAAATCTATTTTGATTTTGTATGATTCTACGACTGGATCTGGTTCCTGGCCCTGTGTGAATAAAGAAGCACACAGATTATTTTATTCATTTTATTTTTATTTTATTGAATCACCGTGAGTTATAGTTACAAAACTTTCATGTTTGAGTTTCAGTCATACAATGATCGAACACCCATGCCTCCACCAGTGTACATTTTCCACCGCCAATGTCCCCAGTGTCCTCCTTTCCCTTCCCCTGTCTCTATGGCAGAAAATTGCTCTCTTATTCTCTCTTTCTACTAAAGGGTATTATAGTTTGCAATACACATTACAGATAATGACAAGCCATCATGTTTCATCCTTTAACTATTTTCAACACACATCTCCCATTCCAAGCAATCCCTCCAACCATCACTGACTTAGTGATCCCTTGTGTATTCCAGCTGCTTCTTCCCCAGCACATAAGGCCAACCACAGAGTAATCTTCCTGGCCATTGGCTCTATTGTCCTTGGGTGTTAGAAATTGATCAAATACTCCTGAACTTCATATGGAACAACAAACCCCCACGAATAGCTAAGGCGATTCTTGGGGAAAAGAAAATGGGAGGAAACAACCTCCCCAACCTCAAACTCTACTACAAAGCAGTAATAATTTAAAACAGCATGGTATTGGAATAAAGGCAGAGCCACAGACCAGTGGAACAGGGTTGAATATACTGACATCTCCTCCCAAACATATGATCATCTAATCTTTGATAAGGGAGCAAGAAATGTGAAGTGGAGCAAGGAAAGCCTCTTTGACAAATTTTGCTGGCAAAACTGTACAGCTACATGCAAAAAAATGGGCTCAGATCTCTACCTAACACCAAGTACAAAAGTAGATCAAAATGGATTAAAGATCTCAACATCAGACCAGAATCCATAAGGTCAGTCACAGTCACAGTCCTCCCGTTGTTCATCGATTTGCTCGAGCGGGCCCAGTAACATCTCCATCATGAGACTTGTTGTTACTGTGTTTGGCATATTGAATACGCCATGGGTAGCTTGCCAGGCTCTGCCATGTGGGTGAGATACTCTTGGTAGCTTGCCGGGCTCTCTGAGAGGGGTGGAGGAATCGAACTTGGGTCAGCCATGTTGGCCGCTTGTTAAGGCAAACACCCTACCGCTGTGCTATTGCTCCAGCCAAGGTACAGACAAGGTTGGCAAAACCCTCCACGACACTGAAGTAAACAATATCTTCAAAGATGACACACCACTGACCAAGCAAGTGAAAACAGAGATAGACAAATGGGATATCTTAAACTAAGAAGCTTTTGCACCTCAAAAGAAACAGTCTACCATAGAAAGATTGCATTCATCTGGGGGATATAAAATAACAAAATAGGAGATTAATACCCAAGAATAGCTGAGATCAACACCAGGGGGATTACTCCATAGCTTAGAGGCCAGGCGGATATTCTAGGGGAAAGGACAGTTCAGATAGAGAAGGGAGCACCAAATGGAGAGTGTTTGGAGGATCCTCCCAGGAGGGGAGATGCAGGTTGAAAGCAGACTGGACTGAACATGTTTGCCACTCAATGCCTCTTTTGCTGATCACAACACCCAAAAGGAGAGAGAGAACAAAAGGGAATGCCCTGCCACAGTGGCGGGGGGATGGGGGGGTGGGGGGGATATTATCCATGGTGGTGGAAAATGGGCACTGGTGGAGGGATGGGTATTTGATCATGGTATGACCGAAATCCAAGCACAAAAATTTGTAAATCTACAACTGTACCTCATGGTGTTTCACTAATAAAAAATTAAAAAAAAAAAAAAGAAACAGTCTACAGAATGGGAAAGGATATTCATTCGCCCAATACCCATCTGACAAGGGGTTGATATCAAGGATATACAAAGCACTGGTTGAACTCCACAAGGAGAAAACATCCAACCCCATAAAAAAATGGGCGAACTAAAAAAACAGAAACTTTCTCAAAGAAAAAATCCGAATGGCAAAAAGGCACATGAGAAAGTGGCCTACATCACTAATCATCAGGGAGATGCAGATCAAAACAACGAGATATCATCTTAAACCACAGAGACCGGCCCACATCCAAAAAGTTGAAGTTGGTGCAGATGTGGCAAGAAAGGGACCCTCCTTCACTGCTTCTGGGAATGCCGAATGGTTCAGCCCTTTTGGAAAACAGTATGGACAATTCTCAAAAATTAGAAATTGAGCTCCCATTTGACCCAGCAATACCATTCCTGGGAATATACAGTGGAGAGGCAAGAAAGTACAGTCGAAATGACATCTACACTTCTATGTTCATTGTTGCACTGTTCACAATAGCCAACATTTGGGGAAAAAAAAATCGAGTGCCCGAGAACAGATGACTGGTTAAAGAAACTCTGGTACATCTACACATGGAATACTATGCAGTTGTTAGAAAAGATGAAGTCATAAAATTTACATACAAGTGGTTCTACATGGAAAGTATCATGTTAAGTGAAATGAGCCATAAAGAGAGGAACAGACATAGAAAGAGTGCACTCATCTGGGGAGTAGCAGAACAGGATATAAAGTAGCAGAACAGGATTCAAACACCAAGTATAGTTGAGATAAGTACCAGGAGGTCTGCTCCAGGGCTTGGAAGCCAGCAGCACATGCTGGGGGAAAAGGCAGCTCAGATAGAGAAGTGAACACTAGCAAAGGATGTTTGGAGGACTTGCTTGGGATGCGAGTTGAATGCTCAAAGTAGACTATAGCCCAAACCTGATGGACACTCAATACCTCTATTGCAAACTAAAAGACCCTGAAGTAAAGAGTGAGCAAAAGGGAATGCCCTGCCACCGAGGCAGGGTGGGGTTGGGGGGTGGGAGGGCTACTAGGATCATTGGTGGTGGAGAATGGGCACTGGTGGAGGGAGGGGTACTCGATCATTGTATAACTGAAACACAAGCACAAAAGTTTGTAAGTCTACAACTATACCTCATGGTGTTTCACTAATAAAAAAAAAGAAAAAAGGAGAAACTTTGGTATATCTACACAATGGAATATTATGCATCTGTCAGGAAAGATGAAGTCATGAAATTTGCTTCTAAGTGGATGGTCATGGAGAACATCATGCTAAGTGAAATGAGTAAAAAAAGAGAGGGACAGACATAGAAGGACTGTATGCATTTTTGGAATATAAAATATCGTAATATGAGCACACTAATTCTTTAGGTAATCAAGAGTTCTTACAGACTGGTATACAACCTTCTTTTCCAGGCCAAATGTTCTGCTTGTAAAAACCCTTTGCTCAAGTAGAACAACACCTTGTTATTGTGACTCAGTCTCTGGCTTTACAGAATTGTCCTACCACACTCTATGACGAAGAATCTTAATGCAATTTCTAAACTTATTAACCTATATCAACTTCATGATAATATTGTTACAGGGTTTCTTCAGTGACAATAAAGTAAAAAATAAATAGCATTACAAAAACAGGTTCCACAGCCAGGGGCGGGGTGAGTGAGAGGGAGGTGGGTGGGGCAGATATGGTTAAAGCTTCACTTCTTTGACCTCAAATTTTGCTGTGAGACTTTTGGGGACCTTTTACGAATCTTCCAACCTAGTACTTCCCAGTACTTCCTAGTACTTCCAACCTGTACTTCCCAACCTAGTCATATTTCAAACTTAAGAATCTGTGTGTCATGCTAAGGGAAAAGGGAGTTCAGATAGAGAAGGGAGCACCAAGTAAAGGGTGTTGGGAGGATCCTCCCAGGATGGAAGAAGCATGCTGAAAGTAGACTATAGACCAAACATGATTGCCACTCAATGCCTCTTTTGCAAACCACAACACCCAAAAGGAGAGAGAGAACAAAATGGAATGCCCTGCCACAGAGAGAGGGTGAGATGGGGGGATAGGGGGTGGGAGGGATACTGGGAACTGTGGTGGTGGAGGATGGGCACTGGTGGAGGGATGGGCATTCGATCACTGTATAACTGAAAACCAAGCACAAAAATTTGTAAGTCTACAACTGTACCTCATGGTGTTTCACTAATAAAAATTTAAAAAAAAAGAATTTGTGTGCCAATGCCTTTTCAACAAAGGAAATTCTAAACAATAATGATGCATCTTTTGTCAAAATAATGAACATAATCAAAGTAGAGAGTTAAGTAGAAATCATCTGCCTCACAGGCATTGGGAGGGGTGGGAGGGGGGTATATTGGGAGTTCTTGGTGGTGAAAAATGAGTACTGGTGAAGGGAAAGGTGTTTGATCATTGTATGACCAAGACTTAAACCTGAAAGCTTTGTAACTTTTCCCAAGTGATTCAATAAATAAATATAAGAAGAAGAAAAAATAATCTGTGTGCATATCCGGAGTTTATTAAAACAATAGGTGCAGAAAACACTGTGATTCAGAGAACTCTGTATAGTGCTCTAGTTTGGGGCTGTGAGCGAAGTTTCTCTGAATCACCTCCTGTTGAAATTAATATTACAATGGAAGCCTGGAGAGATTGCTCAAAAGGCTGGAGCATGCTGTGCATGTGGACTACCAAGTTTAATACCTGGTACTGGGGCACCACCAGAAAAGAACCC